CCAACGTTCTTTCAGAGCATGTAAAACACCATCTTCTTGCAGCCTTAATATAACGCTGGAGAATGGAGTCGTATACGGAGAACCTAAGAAAAAAATAAAAGATCTTATGTTCAAAATATGGATTTTGGTCATCCCAGTTATTAAAGAGCAAGTATTTCTTTGCTGGAGAATAAAATGTCATGAACCCTGAGTTAAAAGGTTCCTTTCCCAGAATGAATATTCATTGTCAATATTTGGAAGTAATTTTAGCAATGCGTGCTCCTTTAAAACGATTTAGATGCCTTTATTGAAATTCAGTATAATTCTGAAATGTTAAACCCAAACTTTAAATTTTCCAAATCTTTATTCAAAGGAACTGAACTCAGAAAAGCAGTTAGAAAGGTGTATAAAAATAAAAATAATTTATTTCCTTTGTAGTGCATTTTCTGATTATAGAACAGCAAGAATTCAAGAAAATTACTTGCCTTTGTACCTAACACTAGAAACATTTGCATTAAACAGTAAAAGACTTTAAAGATGGAACCTGAGAATGAAATAAAGAGAAATAGAACAGTTTTTCTTATACATAATTTACTTTCAATAAGTTTGTCATGACCGATGATTGTGGGTTATTTTCTTACCTTAATCGGCTTCAAACATCAAACACAGTTGTGCTATTTAAACGTTTTTATTCAGAGTAATTCAGTACAACAACTATAGCATTTTATGTGTCTCACAAAACTCTTTTAAATATTTTTGTTTTAGTTTTAAATCATTCAGCGCGTTCCGCGTGATTCGTTTTGAAGTACGACATAGTAATCGTAATCGTTTCCCGTGGTCCGTTTTACTGTTTTTTCTCTGCATGTCGCTGACGTTGGCATCCTTGCTTTTCACAGAAAGCGCCAGTGCCTCACAAAGTTCATACAAATTATAATTATTTCCATATAAAACAGCAAATATAAAGGTGCTACTGGTTGCACGGATTTTTGGCGATTTACTTTGGCTCAATTGTTGGCGCGGTTTTTACAATCGTCAGCCATCTTGAAAAACACCGTTTTTACGTTATTTTCCGCATAGTAAAGTATAGGAAACTTTAAAAAAAATAAATATCGTTAAAAATAATGAATTAATTTTTTTGTTAAAATATTACGTAAATTGAATATCGAATTAAAAACCATCATACCAACGTTTAAAAGAATTAAAATATTACTTAAATTAAATACTTTAAAATAAGTAAATAAGAACGCACAGTAGAGCTAAAATGACAGCAATTAGTTTATTGCCGGTAAAAAAGGAGGAATGTCTAATACTTTTCTTACCGTTACAGCGGTTATTTCTTCCAACATGACCACGATACCATATACGGCCGTCCTCAGAATTGGCTCTTCCAACGACTGTGATCTAAACTTCATTGAAGAAGCAATTAACGAGGTTTCCTCCAAAAATTTTTAATAAATTTCCTCTGACCTTTGTAAGAATTTATAAATAAATCTTTGATTAGGAAAGCCAGGCCGGCCAAAATAAGGTGTTAAAGGACAATTTTTTGATTCCGATACCAATAATTCTTGGTACTTATCAGTAACAACATTCATTATTCAAAGAGACATTTTTGAAGGAATTCGAAGATATGAATTAAATTTTAAAATGGCGCGGTAATGCACAAATTTTCGTAACCTATCAGGGAGCTGATTACAGCTCGTTAATACACAAATATTCTATAACCAATCAGAGAGCTGATTACATCACGCCTAGAATTAAAATTATTTAAATAATCATACATAATAAAATAATTTAAAAAAGAAATGCAAATTAAATTGATTTTTTATTTAGAAGCCCTAAATAATATTTAAAACACGGAATTTATGTATAATAAAACGCATTATTTTTTAAATAAAATGACAACAAAGTATCGGTTACCATAAATAACTTATTCAGCAATGGGTTTACCATAAGTCGTATTACTCGCCAAAAGAAAAATCGCCAAAAAATCGTCAAAATCTGTGCAACCGTCTACCAAAGTAGCCTTAATATAAATGTATGTTTATCCAGCGTTTTCATAGATATAGTGCATTTATATTGAAAACACGTTTCAGGTATTTAAGGAATCTGCTTCAAAAGATCCTCTTGTAGTATTTTTATTTTAAACTTGACTGAATCCGAAAATTAAAAATATGTTCGTACGTTATTAGGTATTTTAAAAATATTTTACATTAAATTAATTACGAGTGCCGCAATAATGTGAATTACAGGACTGAAACTCTTTTCTGATCTTACGAGTGAAGAAGTAATATCGCTGTCTGAAATATATTTATGTTACTTTATGTTATAGGAGAATTATATTTATAGAAGGTAAGCTCGTCAAATATTTAGAAATGCCTATTTTAATGAATGCATCTTATACAGTAATATAATTTATACAAAAGAATATTAAATTATGAGCTTTTATAAAAACATATTTAAATAATTACAAATATGTCCATAAGATGACTAATAAATAGCAATTACATTATGTCTTACAGAAAGTTAAACTGCTTCATAAATAAATGTTGAATACTGTTTCTAAAGTGTTAAATCACCATACCCTCTTCACACCCGAAGTTAAAATATTTAATTTAAAAATAATTCGTGAAGTTTATATGCTTGCTTTCTGTCTATAGATGGGAAAAAAGAGAGGTACAGATATGTGTACCTTGGGATTCAAATAAGTAAATAGTCTCATATTTTATCACTTATAAATTTTAATATTTAAAGCCGCCATTAGATTAAAATGTGAAATAAAACATGAACGTAATATAATTTCACAATAACATCCTAATGTACGATGGTTTTATTAATTTTAAATAAATTTTAATTATATTTTATCTTTATCATTACATTATTTTGTATGAAAATTTTCAAAATAATTGTTTTTAATACACATAAATACGTTTACATTTGATACAGAATATTCTTGTTCTTGTTATGCACCCTGGCATTCTACGCTTAGATGAATTTTTGGTATCTATGGGTCTTGGTTAGTGATTTACACCATCCAGACTCGTGTTTTTTCTTGGTAGGAAAATTACTTTCGTCTGCTTTCTTAGGGAATTCTTCCTCACCTGAACTTGAAGGAAAGCTTAGTCTCTCTCTATTGGTTATTAAATTTTCTTCATATCTGCGCAATGCTGATACATCTAGCATGCCATATTCCATGAGGAATTTAGCACCCGTAAGATTGTTTCGCTTGTAATAGCGTACATGCATCGCCCAACACTTTGATATCACCAAATCCACAAAATGGGAGAAAATTCGAACTGGCCATTTTTTTTCCTCTCAGTACACCGATAGTACGTGAAAGGAATCATTTGATGTTCCAAAGAAATGTTTTGCGGTTAAGTCAAAATAAGGCATTTTCCCTTGATGGGATTTAAAAAGGTTTGTACTTTCCAATGTTTATCATCCTTTTCGTGGAATGCTAAATTAGCTGCAAAATGAAAATTTTAGGGCAGAGTGAATAGTCTGTCTCTTGCCATTGTTTCATGAAAACATCTTATTGATAGGTTTCTTGGCCAATATAGTTCTGCTTGAGGGAATTTCAGTGAGCCCATCTAAGTATTCAGACCAACAAATCGCATTATTTCATTTGCGTTCGTGTTTACAGATTTATATTTCTGATGAACAGAATAAAATTAGTTGGAACAGCTTCTTCTTCAAAACATTCCACGCTCAGGTATTCAAAAAACGAAGCCAAGGTTTGAAAAGGCTCTGTGGAGCATTCTCAAAGTCATCCTGCAAACATATTAACTTGCGTTAACTATCAGTTACAACTAATCACATGAAATAACAAAGAAATTACAAACAATAAATTATATTAAAAACATAAAATCAGGTCAGTTATAGCTATGCATTGTCTTTATTTTGAATAGGGTCAAAGAAATATGAAGAATAGAAGTCCAATATTATGAATATTCTATTTTAATTCAAAAATAAAGCGAGAAAAGGGTAAAAAAACCCTCTATAAAATACAAGTATAATTTAAGATTACAATTACATACTAGAATGTATATAATCACCTGTAGACCATCAGTGAGCTGTTTCTGAAACACAAACTTTCAGAAACAGTGAACTGAAAATTATGTAATACTTAAAAAAACGTATAACAGTAACCAACTGAGCCTAACTTTCCCTAACGGACTGACGTCCACGTATGTGGACCAATACACATTTCAATGCATTGCCACAAAAAATAATTTTGACGAACAAACAACAACGTCCAACGTCAAACAAAAGCTCTAACCTAAATAGCTCTAAATATTCACTTTAAACATTAATTAAATTATTAATTAATTAATTATTACTTATGTTTTCGAAGACTTTTCGACGGCGCCATTTTTTCAAAACAATCCGTTTGTAAATCTGATTTCTTCAAAAGTATGCACCTGTGCTGCCAACCATTCGTAAAAATGTTAAGCTGAAACATCCTCGTACGCGGTAATCGAGTTGCAATTGAGTAAAAGTGTACTAGAATATTTCCAGCATCGCAAAATTGAAGGTCCACATATGTGGACCTGTAGAGTCAAGAGGTTATAATCAAAGCAAGAGCACAAAACAAAATTTGTATAATAGTTGTGGTTATATGCTGTTGGATAGTGTACTCTCAACTCCCTAGTAGTTTGAATAATTTCTGTAAATCATAAGCTTCAATTTATCCATATAACTCTAAATCACAATTATGCAGGTGTAGGCAACAGATATTTATGATCGAAATGATGGTTATAAGGTTAAGTTCCTACAGTGATAAAGAGTACAATTGTATTAGGAGAGGCGGAATGATGTGATATTTTATCTTTCATGACTATTACAAAAGCATTTGTTTTTCTTCCATGTTGAAATGATATTCTTTGAAACAGTTCATAGCTAACTGAATGTATGTAAGATTTTATTTTCTAATTTATTTATTAAGATAGCTAAACAAGCTTGTTGTTCCTGCTAAATTTCAATGAATTCCACTGATCCTGCTATTCAGTTCACTTTTGAACTTGGGACTTGCAATTCTCTTCCTTTTCTCGATTCTGGTCACACGTAACACATCTAATTTCAGTACTACGGTTTACCGTAAACCATC